TATATATATATATATATATATATATATATATATATATATCCATATCCCTACGTCTATGGCCAAAATTTCGACTAACTTAAACGTATCTGGGGGAAGCATTTGACTATAAATAATACTGGGGTTTGTCACCACTGTCTTCCTGGAAGGCTGAAGCTGCTCTACAGGGTTGAACATTTCATGTCAGGCAATTGGCAGATACTCAAGGTCTGATGTCTGGAAGGACAAAGGGGTCTGCCAGCCCCTCAGATGTAAGACCTGCTTTTCTGGATCCTGTCTGGGAGCTGATAAACCACACAGCCAAACTTGCTTTTCCTGTCTTCAGAAGACTGTTCTCCCAACCTCATTTGCAGGAGACGCTGTGTGTGAGCAATTCAGATAAATTGTGAAGGGACCTTTGGAAGGTTCTAGAAGGGATGAGGTGCACCTGGGCCAGTGGCCACTCCTCGACCTCTCTGCCTTGTTTCCCCACGCAGTTTCAGGGCGCATGAGTTCCACAGAGTGGAGTATGCATATTTTGGATGCTTTCCTTAAATTCTCTAACTCGGTCATTTTAATGACCTTCAAGTGTCTGAGGCAGGGGCATTCCAGACAGGAAGTGGCTCCTGGTCAGAGTCTCAGGATAAGCGTGTCAAAAGCCATTTTGATGCTGTGCTGTCCCCTATACTAACTGATCACATAGTCTAAACTTGGAAATCGAGCGCCCCCCCCCCCCGGCCCCAACAAAACTTCTCTCCCTCCCTTTGCTGGCTTCCTGTTTGGGGCTGAGTGAGAAGCAGTGCTGAGCTATGAGTCAAAGTCCAAAGTCCCGATCCCAGCTTGTGCCAATCTAATGTGTGACTTGAAACCTCTGGACCTCGGCTTCTGCAGAAAACGGATGTGAATTCCAAGCATTGCAGCCTGGGTTAGCTTTTACTTTCTGTGATCCATATTGAGGAAGACTGGGGCATGTTGGGAATGCAGGGAAATTATATGAAACCAACATAATCAGTTGTGGTGGCGCACGCCTTTAATCTCAGCACTCTGGAGGCAGATACCAGTGGATCTCTGAGTTCAAAGCTAGACTGGTCTACATAAAGCTGAGACAATTTGTGAACCTTCTTGGTTTTTACCATTCAGGAAGTTGGATCTGATGGCTCACCCCAGTGGGAACAAATTTCAGGTCATGATAGGAGGAGAGAGGCAAGGAGGCGGGACAATCATAGTAGAGCAAGGCTAGGCTCACCGTCTGGACTCTATACCTTCTCTTTGGCTGGGTTTTAACAGGGTAGATTGACCCAGGCATATAAGATGTATCATGCTTTTAACTCTAAAGGGATAATGTTCTTATGGCTGCCGCCTCTCTCTGTGTGAACAGATCTGGGGCATCCCACTTCCATATCAGAAGCCTGTTTGAGCTGATATGTTTAGGGTATCTTGAGTCCTATAGGCCTAGAAGAATTTACTTATTGCTTCCTGCTATGAAAAACTGTCAACCCTGCCAGGCTAGTGTCTACATTCACAAAGTGAGTCCAGAAGCCACCACCACCACCCCACCCTTCCCACCCCTCCCTGCCTCGGACCTCCCTTGCAACTCTGTGCTCTGCTTCCCACTTCTGTTCTTCCCTGGACAGAGCAGAGACCCTGAATTAAAAGTTTGACTGGCAGATGGAAACTTTTAACCCTCGGTGGTCGTTTAGGAGGCAGTGTTGCTCAGTGAGCAGAAAGCCAAATGCCTTGGTTGAGTTTGAGCTGTACTCATTTCTACCTATGAGCAAATGGACCTCTCTGAGCCATGTTTCTTTCCCTTTAAGGTGGAGAGCATCACACAGAGTGATGTATGGATCAGTGCAGACCCTCGCCATTAGGAAATGGTACCCAGTGATTATCCAAGCTGCTCCTAACATCTTTAGAATACTTACAGAGAAAAGTCTAAAAAAAAAGAAAGCTTCCTTGCCTGACTTCCAGTTTGGTGATTAGAGCCAAGGAGCATGAGAACAGATGGCTAGGACAGGATTGCACAGTTACCCAGGTGTCTAGGACAAGACTGCACAGTTACCCAGGTGCCTAGGACAGGACTGCACAGTTACTCAGGTGTCTAGGACAGGATTGCACAGTTACCCAGGTGTCTAGGACAGGATTGCACAGTTACCCA